ATTTACTTACATTTTAACTAAAAAAATATTTATATATATTTCAACCTAATTCAACTAATTTTATATACATTTAACTAAAAAAACATTTATATACATTTATATACATTTTAGCTAAAAAATATTTATATACATTTCAACCTAATTCATTAAACTTTCAACTACACCTTCATCTATGATTCAGAAACTATAAATCAAACCACACTCTCAACATTTCACACACACACAAAATATATCATTATCTCTCTCACATACTTCTCAATTCACCAATACAAAAATGTCTTCATCTCAAATAAAGAAAACCCTAAGAACCAACAAAAAGAATGCTTCAGACCTTCTATTATTAAACCTTCCACATCCAAACATTCAATCACCAAACCTTCCATCACCATTATGTTATCGACAATCATTTGATTAACTAATTCACTCTCCGTCTAGCTACTACTTTCCTACAATGGCTCTACAGATGTTTCCATTTAATCTGTTCTCTACTAAACCAATGGGATTTTACCACAACTAATCACCTCGTTCGAATGTGGATCATGATCCGTTTGAAACGGTTCAAGAAACTCAATTCTTTTCTTAACCCCAACCGCAAACTAACATTTAATCCCAACCATGTTGTCTATTCGACGGGTCAATCGATTCTTTTGATGAAGGCCCCGTTGATAATCCTATTCAAGAATCATTTCAAGAGCCCGAGTCGAACCACAAGCGCAAAAAAGGAAAATGGAGGGCTCCATGTAGAGGATGGATAGATGATGAAGAGAGTGCACTAGCTCAATCATGGCTAGATGTGTCGAAGGGCCAGATCCACGACAAAGACCAAGACTTAACAAATTTCAAAGAAAAAGTTTGGCATAATTTTTGTCACTACATGAAAAAGAAGACCTACAACCCCGATTCACTTTACTCGAAGTGGATGACAGCCAACCGATCCACAATGGAGTTCATAAGCATCTATGCGAATGCAATAAAAAACCCCTAAAGCGATGCAACTAAGGTGGATGTCATGACTAAAGTTTGAAAGATTTACAAGGTGAAAGTCGGAAAAGCTTTTGCCAATGCGTTGTTTTAGGGAGTTGTGAAGGGCAATCGAAAATGGCTAGACCCAAAAACCCCTAAAGCGGTGCAATTGAGGTGGATGTCATGACTAAAGTTTGAAAGATTTACAAGGAATAAGTCGGAAAAGCTTTTGCCAATGAGTTGTTTTGGGGAGGTGGATGTGCATGTTTTGTCTGGAATGTTAGGAAGTGTAGATTGCATGCATTAGAAAATGGAGTATGTGTCCTAATGCATATCATGGACAATACACAAATGACAATTATCATTATCCTACGGTCGTGCTTGAAGCTGTTGCCTCACATGATTTGTGGATCTAGCATGTATTTTTTCGGTAGTGCCAATTCACTTAATGATATTAATATTCTCAATGACTCACCAATATTCAACAAGGTGTATGACGGTACTGCCCCAAATTCGTCATTTGTACTCCAAGGAACGGAATACCAATTTGGGTACTATCTTGTGGATGGGATCTATCCCGAGCTTTCTGTTTTCGTTAAAAGTTTGTCATGTCCGGATGACCCTCAGAGGTCCAGATTTAAGAGAGTTCAAGACAAAACAAGAAAAGATATCGAATGAGTGTTTGGAGCACTTAAAAAGCGTTGGCCGATAGTTGCAAAAATATCCATGTTTCATGATATTTTTACTATGACAGAGGTGATGTATACATATATTATATTGCATAATATGATAATAGAACATGAATGAAACGCGATATGTGTGTACGACGAGAATAAAGTCATCCAAGAGACACGACCACTAGAATATTGTGGTCAAGAATGAATACATAAAATGAGGATAATTTACAATGCAATATTCCATACCGATCTTTGCCGCCTTTTGATTGATCATCTTTGGACGATGGACAATCTTGATCTAAATATGCCACCGGAAGATGAATTTGAAGACAATATTCGAAGGAAGACCCGTTGCTTTAGTGTGTTTTTTTATGAAGTATGTTTTGGTTATGAAATGTGTTTTTTATGTATTAAGTCGTGTTTCTAAGTATTAAGTTGTGTATGTCGGTGTTAAGTCATGTTCGTGGTTTGAATTATTAAATCGTGTTCTTAGGTATTTCAAGTTTCAATCTATTGTAACTTTTTAAACTTAATATGAAATGTTTGTGTTTAAAAAAATATAATTGATATTATATTAATTGTTTGTGGTATAAAAAGATTGTTTAATATTTATACATAAGAAATGTTTCTATATTAAAATAAAGTTTTAAAAAGAAAAAGAAAAAAAATAAATATCAAGAGTGTTACCATTCCTTACCAAATGTTAATGTCAGATAAAATAACACTCCAAAACCTGACATACAAGATGTTAGGAGTGTTACCATTCATTTTGGCCTTAAAAAAACCTAGGTGGATGCATAACATCCTTACTTTTACTTCACCTTTATTTCTTAATTTGAATTATGAAGTTGTTGCAGTTTTTTTTTCTTAAAAAAAAGGTACTATTACATTAAGTAAGAACATTCTTATGCCTGATTAAATCACATTTTTAGATACATTTTTATTGCATTCCATATATTTATTTCATGCATATCATATTATTTTATGAAATATGTTATGAGACACATCACTTTGGGGTATTTTTGGTTGTTTTTATAGGTTTGAAGCGATTGAAGGGGATAATCAAGTACCTTGTCACAATTTTGGACACTAAAAGAAGCTCGTGGCATGATGTTAAACATTGGGGGTCAAATTTAGAATACAAAATACCAAAACAAATGTTTCTTATAAGTGACACTTACATCATCATCATTGCAATGTGCATTCTAAGATCATAAACATTAGAACTTAAAATTACATGTTAAATTTAACTACGGAATGGATTTGGTTAAATTCCATAAATGGAAGAGATGTTAGAATGGCTAAACATCTTGTGATAATACAATTCATTTTTTAAAGGATTGACCATAAATTAAATCATAACAAAATATAACATTTATATTGAAATGCATTGAATTTATTTTTAAAACACATCATGCTCGTAGTAGCAGTAGCTTCTAAAATCAAATCCCCTAACCTTTTTTATTTATTATTTCATGTAAATCTTGAACACCTTTGATATAATTTGTTAATTCGAAACAAACTTTACTTTGATTTATATTAATCCTTAATTCTGGTTCATTTTTTATCATTATTTAATTATTCACACCTAAAATGCTACACCAATTATATTATATAGTATCATAATCATATTACTATATTAGTTTTTTTTTTTCCTTTCGCTTTCACTTGTACTTTAAAATTATTTATTTTTTATAGCCTAACGATATTAAGTGTTGCTTTTCCTCGTTGAAGTAGAAGGTTTAAATCTCGTTAGAGACATATAGAAATAAAAGTAGTTTATGAGTATATTAGATTTACCGTTAAAAAAAATCGTAAGGGTTTTTTAATCAATTTAATAAGGTCTTTATATATCGTGATGTTTGATTTGTGAAATTCTATAATAAAGATTTTAAGGTTCAAAAATTATTGTTCAAATAATACGAAACCTCTAGGATAGAGGTGGCAATCGTGTCGTGTCGTGTCGGGTCAAAACACTAAACGGGTTGAAAGTGATTGACCCTAACCCGACCCATTTAATTAACGTGTCGTGTCGTGTTAACCCGTTTATTTTCGTGTCGAGTTCGTGTCGGGTTTTGGGTTAGGGCTATAGCTGGAAATATGTTGTGTCATGTGAGGTTAAAAGATTGAGCATGTTGAAAGAGTAGGAGTTAGGTAGGTAGAAAGGAAAAGCTAATACTTTAGAGGCAAAATAGTTGAAATCATAGCAAGTTCAGATGAAAAAATTAAAAGAGGGGAGTTGGGGAGGCGGATGATAAAGGTCATGAGGATGCGAGAGTGGTGAAAGAGACTGGGTAGTTTGGGAGAGAATGAAAAATTGAAATGAAGTCTTGATCTAGATGGCTAAGTCTTTTCAACATTACAAAACAATTTAATTCGAATGCTTTCTTTACTTATGGTTTTGGTTTTGTATCTCTCTAGTTTGTTTAAATAATTCAAAAATACTTGCATATAAATAAACGAGTCATTTTCGAGTCATATTCGAGTTGAAATTCTGAACCCTAACCTTACCCATTTAATTTTCGTGTCGTGTCGTGTCAACCCGTTTATTTAAACGGGTTGAAATATCTTACTCAAACCCGTTTATTTCGTGTCGGGTTCGTGTCGGGTTTCGTGTCGTGTCAATTTTTGCCACCTCTACTCTAGGATGGGCTCGGTATGGCCGTCCAAATAATACCATATACCATTTTTAAGATATTTAGTTATATACTTTAATTCTGGGCCATGATTTCTTTATTAAATATAGTTATTAATTCTATAAGATTACATATCGAAACAATTCATGCATCTTATTGTACAATATTCTTTTATCTTCTATGACATTTCCTTGGTCATGAGTGTACTTGAGAAATGAAACATTGCCTCTATAAAACTAGTAGTATCAAACTATTTATTTATAAATAGTTAAATATGTATTAATCACTTTTAATTAACTTTAAGTTTATAAAATTTACTTAATTAACACTTGAAAAATTAATCATCAAAATTCCATATGTTATAATAATTTGTGATAAAGGTCATTATATGTAAACAAAATTGTTTATTTGTTATATATTTTATCCCCCCAAAAAGCAAGACTTTTTATTCTGTTTAAATTGCTCATTTTTTAGGCTTGGCAAGATTTGAGCTCCCTAACATCCCACAAAATTTTGACCAATAACAAGAAGATTCCCCTTCCCCTTCCCCCACCCCTAGCCCTACCCCTACCCCACCCCACCCCATGGCAATGTTATCCTTGTGAACTCTAGTTGCTTAACAAATTTCTTCATCATATTCTTGCAGAATCTCTCTATAAAATCGCAATATTGAACATCATTTTCCAATCATTTAAAACCCAAAGAGCTTTTGAGAAATCCTCCCATGGAGTTTTCTAACCTTTACGATGATATATCATCTGTTGTTGAAGAAACCAACAGTAGTTTCGACACTGTTTGCAGAAACAGGAGGCGAAATTACGATGAAGAAGATGATGATAACAATGATGATGAAGGGAAATTTAAGTCTAAGAACCTCAAAGCAGAAAGAAAAAGACGTGAAAAGCTCAAATCCAGGATGCTACAATTACGATCTCTAGTTCCTAAAATAACAAATGCAATGATCCCAAACGATAGCTTTTCTATTTTTTGTATTAATTGTTTTGCTTCGATTATTACATTTTTTTGTCAATTGATTAAAAGGAAAAACTTTCTTGATTTCAGTTGAACAAAGAAACGATCATAACTGATGCTATTGATTATATCGAGGAGCTTAAAATTTCCGTGACAAATTTGACTAACAAGATACATGAAATGGAAGTTGAAATGGCAATGGAAGAATCGTTTGATATTATCCAACTTTGCCCTCAGGAAAAAATGAAAAACTGGGGTATAGAGGTTAGATATCAAAATAAAACCATAACTCATAACTTAATTAACATCAAAATTTGATATAACATATAACGTGTATCATGTTGATGTGAAAATACAACCTATGTATAATAATATTTTATTTTTACTTACATCGTTCGTAACTTAATTACATCATAACGTGTATCACTGTTGATGCCAAAAATTACAACCTATGCGTAATAAAATTTTATTATTACTTATGTGTATGATTAAATATGATGTTTTTTTTTTTTATGTAGTTGGAAGTAGAGGTGAGCCGTATCAATGAGAATAAGTTGTGGATGAAGATAATTTTTGAGAAAAAAGTAGGAGGGTTTACAAAATTGATGGAGGCAATGAGCATCCTCGGGATTGAAGTTGTTGATATTAGTGTTACAACCACAAAAGGGGCAATTCTTATTACTTCATGTATTGAGGTACATGTAATTTCTTCATTGGTTAATTACAACTTCTTCTACATTACATGCATACATATAGATTAACATGTGGTTATAATTTCTACGAATTTCAGGGAAAATTGCTTGTTCCTGAGCGAGTTCGAGAAGAATTACTTGACGTTATTAAAGTTATGTAGTCTAGTAGAAAGCATATTATATATATTGGAAAATGTTGAGTAATATAACTAGTAGCATTATTGGGTGTCTAGCATTGTAATCTAAGTTTTTTTTGTCGTGAAACAAAAAAATGATGAACGATTACGATATAAATTCGAGTAAAAACAAATATAAAAATTTAATAACTGTTATAAAATATTTTATGAGATACTACCCTTCTAAATACAACCTCCCCATGTTAATTTTTTCCCTACACATTTCTTTGGCAGCTTTCACAAGTTTTAAAGATTCAAAGCTAAAGACACATATATCCCACCAAACACGCTTAAAAAAGTGAGCATGACCCACAACACCCCAAAAGGCCCTTTGTCAAATTTGTATGTATAAATTTCACCATTATTGACAACATGAGAATTCACATTGGAATATTTCACATATTTGATATGGTTATTCTAAGGATTCTTGTTGTTTCCATTATGACATTCACTATGCTCTTAATAAAGATCAATGCACTCAAAGGGCTAGAGAACAGTTTTGTTCGGGTTGTCAGATTAGGCCAACCACCATATTCATCAGCTTCTGGACCTCATTCAAGTGTGGATACAATGGAAGTTACAGGGATACATAAATCCAATAAGTTGAAAGTTGTTCCTGATGCTATCATTGGAGGATATCTAATGGCTTGTGTTGTTGCTGTTTTATTGTATATTCGAGTCACAAGAAAAAGAAGTGAAGTGCATTCTTAGAACTATTTCCCTTGTTGTTTTTCCATTACCTTATGTAGCTATTACATAGTCTTTATGGAAAATCTAAAACATACAATTAATTTAATGGGTGAAGATACATTCCTAATCGTAATATAAAATAGATGGTATACTGTGAACCACATGCATGTCTTATAAATTAAGAAGCTGCAAATGTCATTTTCCTATGTATGACTTGGAGGAGATTAACAACACCAAACATTGCAAATACAACTCTTTTCAAGATCAATTTATACTGAAAAATGGCAAATATGATCAAAGGAGTGGAATCATTCCGAAACATATGATGTTTAAAAAAAAAAACGATTGAAAAATATATATGGAAGTATGCGATAAATCGAGGTCCTAATTAACACATCCCTTACCTTCACACCTAATAATCTTTACGAGTTATACCAATTAATCTTTAGGGTGCAAAGGAACTATATATGCATACATGTAAATGAAGGTATTTTAGTATCATGTATATTCATGTTGAACTTGTTTAAACTAAAAACAGATTCATAATCACAAGGTATGAAAATCTGAATCCCAACTCGCCTCTAGATTATTTCTTTCAACTGCTCACACATATACTCTCCATCTCTCTCTCTCTCTCTCTCTCTCTCTCTCTCTCTCTCTCTCTTCAGTATCATGTATATTCATGTTGTAACTTTGATTCTATCATTTCAATTTTTAGAATAATAAAATCATCTTTCAAAGCATGTTCATAAAACCATAATAGAATCAAAGTATAACCAAAACATCCAAATACATTAGAGTCAAATAAAATGTGGAACAATGTGGTGTGTGCGATGCGATCACATCGAGCTCTTCTCCTTGGTTCCGGAAGTACTTGAAACATAAAAAGAAAACCGTAAGCACGAAACTTAGTGAGTTCCCCAAAACACCACATACCATACATATCAAACAAATGACGGGCCCCGCTCGGAACAGATCTGTCAGAAATATAGATGGGCCCCGCCTCATCACATTCATCAGGCCCCGCCTGACATCGAACCCCTCCTAGTATACATATAAACACATACACACATGCAATAATCATAAAGATAAATAACATACAATATACTAATCAGGCCTCGCCCGGTATACATATCAAGTATCATACATGCAAGATTCACGTAGCAACTAACATCCTAATCATAATAAACCATAGGTCGGCATTGTTGCCTTCGACCCGCCAAGAACAGTGAGGAAACTCACCTCAAGCTGCTAAATATCTCATATAAAGCTCGGACTGCCGGTCCGGAAAAATCCCCGCGTTAGCATCATCAAATAATAGCCAATTAATAATTGGTCCACATCCCATAGTTGGAATCCTAGCCGATTATCCAACTCTCAGGGTAAAAGTCCATTTTACACTTTACTCACTTGGCCAAAAATCCAAGGCCCAATCTAATAGCACCAAAAAGCCCAATATGGCCCAACTTCCTAATTAGGCCCAAAACCCATCATGGGCCTAATTCCAAGAAGGCCCAAGGCCTATCAACGACCCAAAAATCAGAAGGCTAATGGCCAAATAGGGCCCAAAACTCTTCTAGCCCAAAAATAGCCCAAACCGAGAAAGTCAACCAAAGTCAAGGCTGTTGAGCACGCCCGACGTACTCGGGCTTATGCCCAGTGTTCTACCTCGACGGCTAATATGCACAGCGTACGAGCTGGGTACGCCCAACATATGGCGCAGTTGCCCACTTTCACTATTAAGTGATTAAATAATTAAGCCATCACATCCAAGTCTCAGATCTGGTACCTATTGATGTCCTAACACGTAAAGTTGGCAACTTTACTCCCATGCATGAATTAATGGGGCCCAAAACTCAAAGAGAACCATAATAAGGATCCTAACACATGTATGTACCAATATAACTCATAAAGATTGCATTTTTATGGACAAATGACCTTAAAGGTGCTAAGATCTACCATTCATGGCTTCTGGAGTAGACTATACTCTCAAATATGGCTTAAAGGACCCAAAAATGCACAAATAAAGCCCTAAATTGGATTTAGCATAAGAAACCATCAAGTTGAGAGCTTTATACCTCAAATACCTTGTAAAGTTAATGATGATTCTGGATCTACAAGCTCAAGCCACACCAAAGCAACCTCCAAGTGTTCTTTTTCCTTCAAATCACCAAACACACCACTAAAATTCACTTCCAAGCTCAAATCTCACAAATGACAATTAAGGTTTTGTTCTTAGGGTTTATAGAGGTGGATGATGGTCATAAGGAAGTCCACGGGTGTCATAAGTTATTTAAATAAGGCACAAACCCTAAAAATTAGGGTTTTCCGCTGAATAGCGTACGCCCGACGTACTCCCATGTACGCCTAGTGTACGTCAGTGCCTCCGCGTCCAACCCTTGAGCCAGTAAGCCCAACATACTTATAAAGTACGCCCAATGTACTCGAACAGGGACCAAATTGAAAGGATTTTTAAAACAAAGGGCTTAAATGGAAAAACTTGAAATATAGTGTTACACACACATACACATACGTACACACTCTCTCTCCTTTATGCGCAGTAGTTACAACATCAATAAGTTGAAAGATATATACATGTACATGTGTGTTTAAAATCCTTAACATGTACATTTATATGTGGTGAAGAAGTCACGAGCCATTGTAGGGGAATTATCTCAAAACAACATGGTTTCCTTTGAAAATAAACAATAATTTTTTAAAATCAATCTTTGAAAGGATGGAAAGCATGAAAACAAAAATTGTAAGGGGATTATTAGAGATTAAAGGAAATAAATAATTTATTTTGTGTATATATTCTGTTTTATAAATCTTCCATAAACAATGAATGTTTATTTTTGCTTATTATTTGTAACTGTGCATTTTATTTAATATAAATACACAACAACCATCTCAATATAGGCATGGTTTATTTTCCTAAACTCTACATGGTTTCAACCAATTTCTTCTCTCATTAAACCTAAAGTCACGTCTGCTTTTTCCTTAAAACTTTCTTCACTTCATCGATTCTTTTTACAACATCTGTAGTCATCATGTCTTCTTCCAATCAAGATAACCAACTCTCCATGAAAATTTTCTTGCATCTGATCACTCTCTAGATTTCTTCTTCAAACTATTTACTATGGAGAAATCAGATGAGATAACTTTTTTCTTATAAAAAACTCTTAGTTCATGTTGTTTGGTCTTCCCCTAAACCATGCATCTTCTATTATCACGGTTGATAAAGAAACTAGTTCTAAACCACGTTGTTGATGTTTGGAATGAATTAGATCAGAAAGTTGTTATTCTTTTTCATGTTTGTCTTATAGAAGAAACTGCTACTGAGATCATGGGTCTATCCACTGCTCTTGAAATCTGGAATGCTCTTGAAACTGCCTACAATAATCATTATGTAGAAATAGTTAATTCTCGTCGTGACAAATTGCACAGTATCTCCAAAGATAACAATTCTGTTGCTGATTTTTTCAGCAAATTTAAACGTATTTGTGATTAATTAGTAGCGATTGTTCAACCCTTTGACGAGGTTGACAAACTTCATTGGTTTTTGTGTGGATTGGGAACGTCCTTTAAAACTTTTTCCACCATGCACCGTTTGCACTGATAAAACACCATCACCGTTTCATGACCTCTTGTCTCAATTTGAGATTCATGCGATTGTCTCAATCTGAGAGTTATGAGATGTTTCTCCAGTCGCTTCATGCTACCTCCCTTCCTCAAGCAGCCTTTACGGCTCAACAAAGTAGATCTAATTAAATTTAGATCATGGTGTCAAAACCGAGGCAATGGCAATAACTACATTGACTGTTCTCATGGACTTAACAATGGTGGTGGTAGGCATCCACCTTATTGTAAACTTTGTCACACTAATGGACACTACGCCTTTGCTTTCCCTAAACTGCATTCTTTTGTTGCTAATGTACCTGTTTCTGATGAAAAATTGGCCAAATCATTTCATCCTCAGTGCAATGTTGCTTTTGATGCTCCTGATTGGTATGTTGATTTAGGAGCCACGACTCATATGACCCCAAAGGTAAAGTGCATGTAACCTTCGGTAATTTTCAGTTTTTAAATGTGTCTCATATTCGAATATCAAGAGTTTCTAAACAATTATTATTGAAAGACATTTTGGTTGTACCGCATTTGACAAAAAAATTAAGAACCTATTGGATGTATATTTAGCCCGAAACACTAAAATTCGGTAGGGTCGAGGAGCATGAAAATTCCATTTTTTCACAGAGTGTTAAATCGAAAATATGATAATTAGCTCTTCATTAGGTGATGCCTGGTGAATTAAAAAAAAGGAAAAAAATGAATCAACAACTTGTGGACATAGGGGCTCTTTTCATAGTTGGAGTAAGTAAGAAGACGGTTTGAATTTATGGTAAATAAATAACATTTTTCACAGTTATTACGTATTTCATTTATTCTGCTATTATAATAATTACGTATATTATAAATAAAAAGTGGTGATCAAACAAAATAATATTTTAAGTAAATAGAACTTTTTCATAATGGGAGATTCAAATTCTTAAACCAGATGTGGTGGATATTATGAGGCAATCTTAGAGCTTAGCATTATTCCTAAAAGTAGAAATTCTTTGTTTATATTGCATTATTTTTTAAATATGATAATTTATTTGTAAAGGATTATAGACTTGTAAGTCTTATACGTTGTCGATACAAGTTCATTTTATACGTTGTTGATCACTGCAAAGTTGTTAGCCAAAAGAATTTTTACGGATATTGGGAAGTGACAAATGTAGGGCAATCCACTTTTATTAGAGGCCAAAAAATTCTTAACAATCTCATAATGTTGAACAATATTTGGGGATAGTGGAGAAGTATGTGTGTTTGTGTGTGTGTATGTATATATATATATATATATATATATATATATATATATATATATATATATATATATATATATATATATATATATATATATATATATATATATATATATATATATATATATAGAGAGAGAGAGAGAGAGAGAGAGAGAG